ACATAATCAAAACACACATTAAACTAAATATATAGAAAATTAAATAAATCATGAAATTTCATATTTTTGTGTCGTGCTTCGCGAAATCGTTACAACTTCCATTTTTGAAGACAGATACAGATTTCTAACTATCTATATGGAATTACCATATCATATACAAATACAGATAATGATAATTTGCTCGGGTACAATTCCGGCTGACCAAACCATTATACGATATACAACCACGACTGTAGTAATTATAGTAGTCCTATCAAATATCTACAGTCACAACAGTACTTGGCCAAAGGTGATCCCTAACAAGTATCCGCGTCACCACTTTCGTCAGAGGGTAGGCTGTCATCCACAAAGAGCAATCCTTTTACATATTTCCAGACCAGATGGGGGAAGGGGACATAGATACCCTGAATGGAGTTAGATGAACAGATACCCCTCAAAGATAAAAAGTCTAATGAGACATTTGATATATTATGCATGTTAATACTGATACATACTTCGGACCATTCATGCTTCATTATATTTTTTTTTATATTTTTTTTATCTTTCCATATAACAATACCGAGTTCATATTAATTTTATTACATGCAAAATATCAAGTATTTATAAATCACATACCATGCTTGAAAATAAGAATAATTCAGTTTATAAGACCTACAAACACACGAGCATGCAAAACAGGTAAAGTCATAATTATCATAACTTAATAATTTTTCTTTATCTAAAAATACTCCTTAAGATATTGAAAAAAATACTAAATTCCTTATCGAAACCTTAATATTTTCTTTTTTACCGTTCTTCTTTTCTTTCTCTCATTCTCTCTCTAAATCACTCTCTCTCTCTCTTTCTTTTTCTCTCTATAAGTCTTGAAAAATGGAATAACGGAAGTGTGGGGAATAGTGGGAAGGGAAGACCTATTTATTGAAATTTAGAACCGTTGGATTCGTGCCAAGTGGTAAAATCCAATGAAGAGAGAAGAAAAAGATATTCGGCACAAAAAATAAGGGAGGACGGCCTCCTCTGTCGGCAACGACAGTGGGGCATGCCAACCAAGGCAACAAATAGTAACAGGGCTCGTCAACCAAGGCAACGACGACGACGGGGCATGTCGCTCGAGGCAACTACGGCAGTGAGGCACGCCAACCGAGACAGCAGCGACGACGGCGCCCTGCCAGAGGTGGCAGTGGCCCGCTCGGCATACTATAAGCTAGCCTGCGCACAGGGACCTATCCGCACAGGCCTACTGTGCGGATGACGCATACACAGTATGGAGCCTATATGCGCGTTAGGTGACATGTGCGAGTTCTAACCTCGCATCGTACGCGCAGATGGAACGTGTACACAGCGTCTATTGTGCGCGTGTAAATGCACGTACAGTGCATAGGCATCCCACACGGGCAATTTTCCTTCCCTACGAAATTTTTTTTCACATTTCGTCATTTTTTTCGATTTTTCTAATTTTTTTTATTAAAATAAAAATAAATAATATAAATGTAATTTAAATAA